CAGCGCCCAAGGCCCCAGCCCCCCAGGGCCCCAGCCCCCCAAGGCCCCAGCCCCAAGGCCCCAGCCCAGCCCCAGGGCCCAAGTCCAACCCCAAGGCCCCAGCCCAGCCCCAAGCCTTTCAGCTCCTCTGGAAGGGCCTGAGGCCAGCTTGCTGCTCACTGCCCCTCAAAGCCAAAGGAGGCCCCACCGAGGCATTTTCCCTGCTTCATAACCTGCCATGGAGCAACTCGGTCACATCATTTTAAAGAGGGGAGGCAGGGAAGCGCCTCAGGCGCAGCTTGCACGCAACCCCCCCCGCACCCCCAACCCAGCCAACATGTAACGCAGGTACAGGGTTTTGTGTGTTTATTTCAATCCACTCGCAGCCAAAACAGAGCTGGCCTCGCCTCCCTGTGGCCCCGGGCGTGCGGCCTGGCTCTGCTGCAACCAGCGGGAAAGGAGCTGGCCCACACCCCGGAAAAGGAGGAAAAGAAAGGAGCTTTCCGCACCCGGAAAGTCAGCACACACTCTAGATATACAGTTACCCCCCCTCCCCTCAGGCAGGAGTTGGAGAAGGAGAGAAACATGACATGTCCCCCTTCAGAGGGTGACTTCGTTGGTGTCGATGCTGTGGTGATCGCCGGCATCCTCGGCACTCTCCAGCGTTTGGGTGCTGTTATCCTCAGGGATCCCAGCTGGAAAGCTCTCCCTGCTTTCCCTGCTCTGGTGGCTGTCCCATCTAGCACCAAACTTGCTGCCATCTCTTTCCACCTCGTGGCTGTTGAATTTCTGCCTGCTGTCATTTTCCGCGCTCCAGTCACGCTGCTTCCCGTCTAGCTCGCTGCTGTCCTGCTGGTGGCTCCTGTCAGCCCATTCCCCACGGATTCCATGCTTTCTTGGGAAGCCTTGGGCAGCACGAGCCTCCTGGGAGAGCTCTGCTTGCTGGCTGGCTGCCTCCAAGGTGCTCTCATCCTCCTCACTGTCTTCACCCACCACGAGCTGCCCCAAAACAAACGCCAGTGTCACTCCTGGGAGAAACGTCTGTGGCGCTGATGAACAGGCCCAAACGGACCCCTCAGGGGAGCGCAGGTTATTGGCACTGGTGCAGGAATGGGTGACCCAAACAAGCAGGCACACCCATAGTGAGGTGAACAACGGTTTATATTCCCTATTCCCAAAGTTCCCTCCCCTGGGTACTCCAGGGTTTACAGCCCATCCCACGCTTCTAATGATCCTGCAAGTTTCCCACCTCTGTTCAAACATCCCATTCCAGCAGGTCACTTTTTACCTTTTAAGGCATAATTCTGACCTTTCTTGCCCCCTTGGCTGCCTTCCCAACCACCAACATGATCTGTAACCACTGGTGTCATCCTGCCCCGAGGAGCAGGACAGAAGTGGCTTTGTTGGGTCTGACCTTGGCCAAAAATCCTGCTCCGTGTTGGGATCCTGCAGATGGAGCCCAATTCAGCCCCTCAGTTTCTTGGACCATAAACCACCTCTATGGAGTGAGATGGACCTTTCACCTGATGAGAGGCTCAGGTTTGATGTCACTTGCACAAGGACAATTTGGCAGTGCAAGCGGCAGCATTGGGTGGCCTGCAGGAGCAGCAGGGGCCAGCACTCCTACCTCAGCTCATTGACACCCCTCTGATGTGGGGTACCAGAGAAAGGGAACACATTCCTTCCCTCATGCCTGCCTTCCTCCCACCAATGCTTTTCAAAATAAAACAGCAGGTCCATTTTCAGGTTCCTCACCCTTTTCCAAAAGGCCTGGGTCCCACTGCTCAGCGTTATTTACCTTTTTTGCAGCTTTGAGGTGTTTGCTGGACTTCAGAGCCACGGCTTTTGCCCTCACCCTGTAGCCCACGCTGTCTCCTCTGCCAGCGTTGTCTCCCCGGGTGAAAGGGAAAGGAGGGAAGGGTACAGTTACTGGAATGTCTGTGGGAAAACCAGTGGTGACCTCATCAGATTCATCCGTGTCATTGGAATCGCTGTCATCGTTGTCATCATCCTCTGTATCTTCATGGCTCTTGCTTGACACACTAGGAAAGTCCTGGAAAACATTGATGAGGCATCAGGCTAATGAACTTACAGGTGAGCTGGGCAGATTGGTACCTGTCCTCCTTGTTGAGGAGCTACATGCAGGGATTGCTCTGAATTTTTCTCACCCTGCCTGACGTTTTGTTTGATTTAGGGGGAGACGTGACCACGGGAACCTGATGGAGGAAGAGGAGGGCTGCTGTGCACTGCCTGCCCTGCAGAACTCAGCTGACACTCTCCTGTCCAACACACTTACCGGTTGTACTGGGACATCCATGCTTTCTTCTGAAGAGTAAAGAGCCTGAAAACAAGATAAAACTCACTATTAGCACACAGAGGCATGTAGAGTTGATCAGCATGTTAACTATTCATTAAGTGCTTCATCCTAAGGCCCAGATCTTGGCACTGAGAGGCTTTGCTTTCTCTGCCTGTACCTGCTGAGGTGATACCAGGTCATCTTGTGGTTGCTGCAGACTCTCCCAAGACTGAGGATTCACCTGGTGGTGGTGATGTCTGTGTGAGTGATGGCCCCGGGGGTCCTTCTAGAGAAGAAAAAAAGATGAGGTTAGTCCCCAAAGGAGCATACAGGAGCAGGGAAAGCTGCTTCCATCGCCACCTCTGCTCTGGTGTCCCTGCCTTATAGCAGGGAGGTTGCAACCTCATGATATTTCAGGTCCCTTCCAGCCCTAACCATTCTGTGATTCTATGACTCTTGCTTTTCAGGCAACACACGCTCCTTTTGTGCAGGATGCGTCCTCAGCAATTCATGGCAGTGGGAAGAGAACAGATCAAAACAAGCCATGATCCCAGCTGAACATTATACCCAACACAGAAGATGTGCCTCTCCCACTGGCAGAGCCTGAGGAATTTCAGATCACTTTCTCCAGCTTGTTTGAAGGAAATGGGGAGTTACTTCTAATGCCCATTTTTTCTGTTGATCCTCGGATCCTTTTCCCAAGAGTGATTTATCTCCCATGTGCTGAGGACACTCAGTAGCTGATTCTCAGAGCCAATCATTGATTTTACATGGGTAGCAGTTGGTGAGGGATTATAAACCAAATAGCTATATACAAGACTAATACAGTTCACTTACACCACTTCAAAAAAAAATAATAAAAATAAAGGGAATTGGAATAAACTGCTCTTCCAATACCAAATATTGCCACAGCTTACACCTTTTTAATTAAGAAACAAGGTTTCTAGTGCCGGTGAAGAGTTACAACTGATGAAAGTCCACAAGCAGGATGCCTAACATCACAGAAGACTACACACATCAGCTGGCTCTCTGCTTTGTCTACCTGAGAAACTGGCTCATAGCAGTCAAGTGAGGATGTGTCCTGCAAGCAGCTGCAATCATAAAACCAGTATCAAAGTGTATTAGAGAGGGGGGGAAATAGAACAAAGAAGGATTTCTTCAAAAAAATGAAAAGACAAAAGGAGCTTACATGTTTTTCTTCTGAGCTGGCAGACGTGGCATGCTGCTTGGATTTGTTCACCTGGCAAGGGAGAATAAAAGCATCTGTCAGTATTGATTTCTTGTGAAGGAGCAGAGAAAACATGCAGGTGGTTGTTGCTCTGCAGCTGTGAATTACTCACTGGCCATGCAGCAGTGATGCTGATGAGGCATAAGCACAGAACTGCCACCTTCATTGTGGTGCTTTACCTAGGAAATATTTGGAAAGCAGGGAATCAACAAAGCAAAATGCCACCAAAAATGCCATTGGCTTTTTCTTTCTCTGGCTGTGCTTCCCCAGCTTTCTGCTAAGGATTCAACCTACCCAGGCCAATCTTTTTCCTCTGCCTTCCACCACCACCCTCCACCCAGCTGGTTTTCTAAGGACTGAGCCACTCAAAAGCTGGAGGAATTTAAAAACCAGCTCCTGAGGAGTGCTGGGAGTAGCCACACTGCCAAGGTGAGCAGACCCTGTCACCTTGCCCTGGCAAAATAGAAGCTTGGTGAAAAAAACACTGCAATAAAGGTCACAATGTTCACAGAACATCATTTTGTCAGAAGAGACAGGGCAAGGCCAACTGAGCTGGGTTTCTCTTTTCAGTTATTTTGAAAAGCTTGTGCTCAGGTTGATTAACTGGAGTCACTGTGAGTAAACTCAGGTTATAGAAACATAAACTGCTCTCATTGATAGATCTTCGTTTGCAGAAGTTTGAACGGAATAACCCATGTTACCAAGCAAGAAGCGAAGTGAAATATCTGCTCACCTTGCAGTTTTAGCAATTTCATAATTGAGTGATTCCTGAATTAAATTAGGATAGTGCTGAGCTACAGGAAATGCTGCTGCTGACCACCCCATTCCCACGATAAATATGATTTCTGAGAAATTAAACCAATTTACTGATGAGCAAGAGGCATCTAGAACTTTAATAAATCCCAGCAGGAAAGAAAAGCTGCTCAGGGCACATTTAAAATGCATGAGCAAAGCTGGCCCTGAGACAGGACATGCTAGGAAAGGCACTGCAACCCCAAGAGCTCAACAGCAAATGGGGGGGTGTCCCATCCCAGCCAGAAATGTGCAGCACAAAGCCTGTCAGGAGAAGCAGGGAACCTGCCAGAAGAAACAGGGAACCTGCCAGGCAGTGCTCACAGGAGGGAGGAAACTTCCTGTGTTCAGGCACCAGCTTTGAGTTTCGAGCACCTGATCCAGTGGCAGAGTTTGCAAAAACCTCCTCCCAAGGTTGATCAGCGGACAGGTTGACAGTTGTGATTAGGGATAATACCTTGCATTGCTAAAGCAACCTATAAAAAGTACACCTTTTTTCTTGTTGTTTTTTTCCCACAGAGACACATCAAAGACCCTCTGGCTAGTGAAGCAGTTTTCAAAGATCTCCTGCCCAACACTTCCTTACACTAAAGCTGCAGACAGAACGGCCCATGTCAGGTAAAAAAAAAAGAAAGCAAATTAAAAAATTACCTTTTCTGATGCTGGAGGGGTCAGCTGTGCCAAAAGTGCTCTTTGTGATGCCAGCAGCAGCTCTCAGCAGCTGTGGATTCCTCTCCTTATCCCCTGACTCTCTGACATCTCAGACCTCAGGGAATTTAAACCCTGTCCCAGGCAGGGCCACCAATCCCCACGTGGCGGAAAAAGATGAGGTCATGAGGCTGCTGGCCACCATCCTGCCCATGTTCTCCTACACTTCCTCCTTGGCTTTGTGGCTTTTGAAACAAACAAAAGCTGCTCTGTGGTTAAAACATTACTTATGGGCAAGATCATTAACCAGGAGGTCTGGTGAATGCAGAGCATTTGGTATCGTGTAGGAGGACTTCTGGGCACGTCTGTCAGCCTGTTGTGAAAGAGCAGTGCCTAGTTTCACTGAAACCCTGTCCTGTAGGGGGTAGGAATGGGTAATGTGGGCAGGAAGAGAGAGATGTGAAGGTAAAAGTAAAAAAAAAAAGGGGGTTAATGCTTTCACAGAGTTGTAGAGTTGCTCTCCAGGGTGTACATGTTGCAGTGGAAATGGCCAAGGCAGGTTGCAGAAAATGGCTCCTTGCCTTTTTGGTCTGACCTGGGTAAAAAAATTAAATTGTTTTGTCACAATAGGCATTCGGTATCCAGAAACTTGTTTGTGAAGGTGGACAAGAGCCACTGATAGACTAATTTAAAAAGAGCTTGAGCACCATGATGCACTCACTCCTTCTGGGTCCTTTCTCCTTTCACTCCCTCAGGTGGTTCAGTTGAGTCACCTGTTACAGTTGTCTTCTGCACCAAACCTGCTCCATGACCCTTTTCAGGGACTAGATACCAGGCATCAAGCTAAATATATATATAACATGAGAAATAAAAGATACTTTTTTTTTAAAAAAGCAGCTACAGCATGAAGCATGACAAGCACTGGAAAGCAAGGAGCAGTGCTTGGTGCCTTAGTAATGGGCAACAGATCTATTCTGGCAGCACTTCAGTTGGGTGGCTGTGGCTTTGGAGAGATTCTGCCTCATCTGGGATGTGCTGCAAGACTCTCAGACCCTCTTCCATTCAGTGTTTCTTTAAAATGACAATGAGGTGTCATTTGAAAGCTGGAAAACATTCCAAACTGCCCTTTTTAACCAGTCAGGTCAAGGGAGGTGATTCTGCGCCTCTACTCTGCTCTGGTGAGACCCCCACCTGGAGTGCTGAGTCCAACTCTGGAGCCCCCAACATAAGCACAAGGACATGGAGCTCCTGGAGAGAGTCCAGAGGAGGCCACAAAGATGCTCAGAGGGCTGGAGCAGCTCTGCTCTGGAGACAGGCTGAGAGAGTTGGGGTGTTCAGCCTGGAGAAGAGAAGGCTCCAGGGAGACCTTAGAGCACCTTCCAGTGCCTGAAGGGGCTACAGGAAAGCTGGGGAGGGGCTGTTTACAAGGGCAGGGAGTGACAGGACAAGGTGGAAGGGATTAAAACTGGAAGAGGGGAGATTGAGGTGAGACATGAGGAGGAAATTCTTGAGTGTGAGGCTGGTGAGACCCTGGCCCAGGTTGCCCAGGGAAGCTGTGGCTGCCCCATCCCTGGAAGTGTTGAAGGCACAGGTTGGATGGGGCTTGGAGCAACCTGTTCTGGTGGGAGGTGTCCCTGCCCATGCAGGGGGGTTGGATCTAGATGATCTTCTAACCCAAACCATTCTGTGATTCTATGCTTAAGCCCAAATTTCTAAATAGCACCCACCTACAGCTCGAGTCCTGTGGCTCACACCACTGCACGTGGGACTGGGTATCCTGGGTCCTGCTCTCCTGCCCACTCACTGGATGCTATTTTAAGCCTGCAAAAACCTGCTTTCTCTACCATCCATTCACTAAGAGACATGGAAATGAAAACCAACATTATCTTGAAAGATCCCCTGGAGCTGGTGTCTGGCTGAAGAAGAACCTTCCTGCACCTGCCATCTGCATAAGAGCCTGTTCATGTCTGTCAGCCCCTCAGGAAAATACATATTATGCCAGGACTTGGAAACAATCTGTTTCACCAATCTCAGCAGCAGCTGATGGAGAAGCCCAGAGCCACCAGAAATGCTTTTCTCCTGCAATTTGCTACAGACCTTCCTTGTCCTGGTCAATTCTCATTGTGACTTTTCAAGGGAAACATTTTGCATGTCCTTGGAACTCTTGTCTCCCAGCAGAGACATCCTGTGACTCCCCAGGGAGTTGCTTCTGACAAACAAGAGCCATCTCCAGGGAACTGGGAGATGGCAGCATTCCCAAGTATCTTTGCCAAAGCTTCACGCTTGGTTTTGTAAGAAGGAAAGGCCAACAATGTTGTTCTGCAGTAATCCAGAAGCGGGATGTGAAGTGACAGTTATTACTAAATGGCTTCATTTCATGCAAGATCAGCCAGTACACAGTAAATTTAGCATCTGCCTCATGCCCATCATGATGGAGCTGTTCACCCTGTACATCATTTCATCCAGCTGAGAAACCCTCTGCCTTGTCCTTCCTGGAGATAAGGAACCAACACGTCAAAAAGGGGGAAGTTTTCACCATTTTCTCTTCCCAGCTTAAAATGCCTAATTCTGCAGGGAGCCCTTGGCTGGCAGGGGCACAGCCAAAGCAACCTGCTCAAATTTGTCTCAGGGGGAGGGTACAGGAGTTCAGCTTTCAAGAGCTGTCAGGGCCTGTGTGGAGCATGAGTGTGATGGGCTGTCATCTGTTGCTGGTAGGTGATGTTTTCTGCTTGGCTGTTCTCTCAAATGAAGCTTTTGACCACAATTTCTTCCACCTTAGGCTGCTTTAGGAAGATGGGGTTAGGCTGTCGTTTCCTGTCCTGGAGAAGTGCTGTCCCTGCCTCCCCCTGCAACCCTTGACATCTACCTCAGATCATGAGCTGAGACAGGAGCTTCATCAATGGCTGCAGGTATCTCTGACTGGCAGGAGAAATCCCAGCCTGATCATTCCCAGCCTTCCAGGAGAGCTGGCTTCTGTTTAGTTTTGTTCACCAAAAAACAAGTCTTGGGGGGGATCAGGGCAGCACCTTCTAGGTGGCAAAGAATAAGACTGGGGCAGAGAGATGAAGTTCTTCAGGAGCATTAAGAATGCTGTGAAGTAAAAGCCCTGAGAAAGCCCAGCTGGGCACTGTTCTTAGAAACAACTTTTTTTGCAACTGGAGTGTCCTGAAGACTTAGTCAACAGTGGTTTCTGTGATGAACAGATGAAATCCAAAGCTTTCTTGCATTCCTACCATAAAATACTCTTTAGAAGTGCCTTGGAAACTCAGCAGGTCAACCAGTGTAACCCACCTCCTAAAGCCCTCACGAGTCACAGAATCAGTTCCCCATTTCCAATCCTACTGCACATCTTTCTCCTCCTAGTGAGGAATTACAGGCATGGAAACGTCCGGGGATGCAGACTGGAAATGGAAAGAACAGCATTTTCTCACTCTGCATTGTGAAACTCTTGGAAAGCCACAGGATGCCTCTTCCACCTAGGGCAGGAGCTTTTTTGGCAGGGCACCAGAGGGGGGGTTCTGCACTCCCAGCACCCCTGTGCTTGCATCTTCCCTGAGCTCCCCTGGCAAAGCACGAAGAGCCAGCCCCCTCATTGCAGGCAACAGAAGAGAATACAGCACAGGATGACAGAGAAGAGGTGGAACAGGGAAGGTGACAGGCCACCAGGAGGAGGAGGAGGACCTCTGCATAGCAGTTGTAGCTGTGCCCTGATCATCCTTTTCACAC